TGGGTGACGGATGGGATCAAAGTCTCTCAGGGCATTAATGCATTGGATAAGCACTGGGCACGGGTGCTCTGCTCCTATCAATCCTACCTCAGGCAGGCAGCTCGTGGTAAATAAACACAGTGTGACAGGAGGAGTGAGATACTGACTTTGGCTCATGAAGGTTTGCATTGAGGTGGAAGAATTAATCCCACAACAAATTACGCCTCTGCTATTGCTTCTAGGATTCGGGATTTTTTTTAGCATCAGACATCCAGCTCTATCTGCTCTTCTCAAATCCAACAGAAATCAGTGGCTGGAGCCAAGAGCCTTTGGGGGTTTGGAAAGACATGTCAGGAGTGGTGAGTCATGGCTTGAAGGCTTCCAGCAAACTGGGGTGAGCCGGGGCTGCCCTGGGCAGGGTGAGGACAGGGGGGGTTCAAAGAGGGACCTGGACATTTGGCCTGGGGAGACTGCTGCACTGGGTGTGCAGGTCATGACCCCACCTCTTTTAAGTAGCCACATTTTTGGGTTTACTTGGCTTGTGATGGCAGTTAGAGGTAATTAGAGATGACACTAGCTGCAGGTGAGCCTCAATCCTGCTCCTTGTGATCACCCAGGGCAAGATCTCTCCTGAACTGGTAACAGGGATGACAGGTAAACCTAAGCTCTGGATCCAGTGTTGCAGGTGGCAGAAAGATGGTATGGAGCAGATTTCACTCTAGCAGCTATTCTTTGGCCTCTGTTTACGTGGACATTTGCATGGAGGCCTCCAGCCGCTCTGCAGAAGGCACGGAGATAGCGCGCTGATACATAGAGGCTGTAGAGTATCTTTGCTCTGGAAGCGATGGTCAGACCTGTGCTGCTCTGCGCAGAGTTCACAAGCCTGTTCCTCGCAAGAGGCAGACACGTTAGTGTTTTTGCTTTGCTTACATTACCCGATCCATCCCTCACTCTTATTGACCGTGTTGGGAGAGAGATTGCCGAGACGGTTCCTCTCCAGAGGCTGTTAAGAGACATTTAACTTCAGTTAAAACGAGTCAGCTTTTGGGCAAGGCAGGGCAGTGCTTGGAAGCCTTCCAAGCCGGTGGAAGGAAATGCGATGCTCAGGCAGGACTAGAACTGCTCGTCCCAGGAGATAGGTGCAGGAGGAGCGCTGATGGGGAGAGCTGGGCGGCGCGGAGGGAAAGGGGCTCTCAGGTGGAGCTGGGATCACCTAAGGAGCACGTCAGGGAATACAACTGAGGTTGTCACTTGGAACCTGCTAGCAGCAGGGGGCAACAATCTCCTGGGACCCAGCCACAACAGACTTACCCAGGTAATCAGTTGTCTCAGAATATCCCTTTTTTATCCTAGAAACCAAATAGCCACTTTGCTGAAAAAGGAAGAGTTATGGATGCTGCAGGCAGATGGGGAAGCATGAAACGCCTTTGCCCTGCCTTGGCACACTTCCTTTCGGTCAGCCTCCAGGCTTGTGCATCCCCTGTGAAGCATTCAGCCTGCTGGCCCAGGGGTTTAGGCCACCTTAACTTTTCCTCCACCTGCTGGCATAGGGAAGGGGATAAAGGCTCAGCCCCCGAGAAGCGCCCTGCGCCCCTGCAGCGGGTGCACGTGAGCCTGGGTGGGCTGTGGGCAGCAGCAGGCCTGCCGAGCGGTGCGGGCAGGGGAGGCAGCGGAGGGGCTGCTTCCCTCCCAGGCTGAGGCTCGCTGGAGGTGGTGCCGCGCTCCGAGACAGCAGCTCCCTTTCTCTCCTGTGTCGCTGCATGCATTGTATTTCTTGGCACCATGCGTCCATGACATCTTGATTTGCAGACAGTCAAATAAAATAGAAAAATAATGTCCACTGTTAATAGGTTGACACACTGCTTCAGGCCAAGTGTGAGTATTTCTATAGCATTTGCTTTGCTGCCTTATGTCAGTAACTGTTGCTATTGAAAGTAAACACCCCAACTGGTTAAATCAACAGTGTTTTGTTTATTCAAAGCTCATAAACTCCAGTAGCTGTAGGTCACTTTATGAAGTGCCAACCCCTGGGGGAAGAGAAGGAATAGTGTGAAATTATTGCATGCAGTCCACCCATCATGAGCTTTAGAGGAAGGGGATTTATTGGCAATTAATATTTCTTGCAGAGGAAAAAAAAGCAATCCTATTGAGGCAGCTCCACACTGAACCTTGAGCCTTGTTACTGGTGGAAATGGGGAATGGGGTGAAACCTTCTTATAGGCCTAGGTAAAAAAAAAAAAAAGAAGATCTTGAAAAATGAAAAGTGGGGTTTTTTTAGAAAAGGGTTTTCAAACCACCTAGTGGGAGGAGAAGAGTGCAGGCAAAATGGGGCAGAAGAAGCCCGGCGCTCAGTGGGTACTTGTATTTCTCCACCTTTCCCTTTAGCACGCTATCTGAGTTGAGAAACTCAACTGAAACACTTCCCAATGGTATTATTCTGCTGTGCATATAAAGCACACATGGGTTTTGTACACCCACAGGCGTAATCAAGTCTGGGTCAGGGCGAAAGCTGTTTTGGAGATGCTCGTAGCTTGCTCATGCTGTAGCCATGCCAGAACATAGCTCTGCAATCAGCCTGGCTGCTGCTGGCCGTGGGGCCGTGGCAGCACGGAGCTGCATCGGGGTACATGCAGAACACCTCTGCCCATCACAGGCTTCCAGGCAGAGCTGCTGAGGCTACCCCAGCCCAGCTGAGGATGGCAAAAGGGGTTTTGGCATTTCCTAAGAGCTGGGATGCACATTCCTGGTGAACCGGCTGTCCTCCCCGGCTCCCTGGTAGGTCACAGCGTACACAAACACTGCGCTCTATGGAAGTTGGACAGAGACTTGGTCTTCGGCAGCGATTTCCAACTTGCAGAGATCCAAATGTAATTAAGATGAGTCAGACGGTTATTTCCAGGCTAAAATTTGTCCTTCCTCGTCCTGAAAAAGCCTTGAGAACCACTGATCTGTGGGATGTCAGGTACAAAACTCTACTAACACACTGAAATCTGTAGGAGACATAGGTTAATCTGGAATTTTGATGATTTGGGATGTTTTGGAAGTGAGATTTGGGGATTGACTAGGAATAAACAGTATCCAGGGCAAAGCTAAAATACATTTTCTCTTGACTACTGTAGACGTGTTTTTGATGATTGCTATTTACTCTTAAGCCTTTGAGGTTACAGATCTGTCTTTGTGATAAATCCAATCATGAACTCATCAAAAATTTGAGTATTTAGGGAAAGGAATTAACCATACAGCCATGGGAAAGAAATTAGCAGCTTCTGTGAAAATAATCTGAATATATATTCTTAACTGGCAGTATCTTAGCCCAGCTGTTTTTATATATTTGAAGGGAACAATGAGTCATAAGGTTGTTTTAAATAGATTTTAAAAAATGCCTCTCAAATGGCACAAGAAAGTTATAAATATTGAATTATCTATATTTTTAACAAGAGCAAAAACTCTGTGTCATGAATGGCAGAAAGGATTCAGCTGAGTTTACCTTGCCAGAAAAGTTGCTTCCCTCTTCTACAGACACCTGTCTGAAAGGTTTAATGCTGCTTCTTTCCCACCGAATATTCTAGCATTTTCTTCATGTGGTGAGAGTGTTTGTACAGCTCTCATTGCAGCCAAGAGCTGTTGGGTTTTCGGCATTCTGAAGGTTGCACAGCAGTAAAAGGGTGCTGGGACCAGGTCACAGAAAGCACAGCCTTGCCTGTGTGCGAGTGGAGACCCAGCGCTGAACACATAGGATAACGTTTCCTTATTTTTGGCTCAGCAGCCGACGGTGTTCAGTGAAGGGAAGACACAAGTGCTCAGGGTCTCTTGGGAACAGGCTGTTTGTCAAAGAAAGTTAAAATCCAGCCAAGGCAGCTGTTAAATGGATGAGCGGCATCCCCGAGAGGCCTTTCCAGTTAGGGTGGATGAATCTGGAGGAGTTTGAGTGCAGGTCGTGAACTCGCAGTTCACCAGACCCAAACTGCTGCCCACCTGGTCTGGTCACAGGGAAGCTCGTGATATTTTCCAGCTGTCTGCGTTGTAGGGAACAATTCTCGCATCTTCACTTTCTTCGGCTCCTGCTGCTTGTTAGCAAACAGTTGGAATGGGCTTGCAGGGATGGTGACCAGGATTCTCCGAAGCTTTTCTGACCATGCAAATGGCTGTTTTAATGGGATGAGAGGAAAGTAGGTGGAGGGATGGTGCTATCCTGATTTTCTGGCTGGGGAAAGAGAGAAGAACTTGCCAAAGACACGCTCCAAGTTCGTGGCCAAGAACAGTAAAGACCTTAGAAATCCTTGATCACATACATGCCTGTGTGGATTCCACCCTACCTTTTCCTTCCTTGTCTTTCATAATCAAACTCAGTCTGCAGCACAGGGCCCTGTTCCTCAGACGTTCAGGCCTCTGCAAAACACGCTTGCAAAAAGCCCGGGCTGCAGCAGAGTCCCGGTGTGACCTGTCCTGTGTGCCGACGCGAACGTGGCGACATGATTGCCCCTCTTGTTGTGTGCACGAGGCTCGGGGCCTGCACATGGAGACAGTGCTTTTGTTGGCAAACGGGCTGTTCCAGGCCCAGCATAGTCCCTGTTCTGTAGGAGGCGGTGGGCTTTTGTAGAAGAGGTTTATTTTTATTTTTTTTCTGAAGGAATTCAGTGTTGTTCAGTGGAATCCTCTCTGCAGGTGGAATCTTTGGGCTCCAGGACTGTAGTGTGCCTGCACTTGAAAATTTGGCCATTTATTTGGAAACAGAGATGGTCAAGTTCCAGCTCATTCATCCAAGCTGTCCTTTCTCAAGGACAAGGAGTAAGGCCAGCACAGCTGAAACGCTGCAGCCAGCTCCTGAATGTTTCCAAATAAAATGCCTTGAGTAAGTTTATTTTTCCCTCTCAGACCTAAATTTAGCACCCTGGAGAAGCTGCTTTGGCAGTCAACGGATGGTAACGATGACAAGATCGATCTGTGGATAGTTCTGGGAAGATTTGGAAAGTCCTGGTAAAACAGAGTTGGTTTCATTCATGTCTGCAATTTGTCCACAGCCCAAAGGTCTGCTCATGAACTTCCAATGGTTGAAAGACAAGATATTGATAGCTGCCTTGTTTATGGAGGACAACAGATGATCCTGACTGGACAAAATTTCACAGCAGAGTCCAAAGTGGTGTTCACAGAGAAAACATCAGGTAAGGCAGTTTTTTTCTAACTGTCCCTAATGGGATAAGGCAAATCTGTAGTGCTGTTGTGTCTCATGGTCTCATCCTAAGATTTGTGCTTATGAGTAACTCTACTCAAGTGAGTAATCCCATTCAAGTTCATGTAAGTAAAACCAAATCACTTGACTTAACCATGTAAGTAAAATTAGACTTGGGAGCAAATATTTGCGTTATTGGCCTTTCAGGCACTGTTGAAGAGTAAATCAAAGCCGTGTCACGGGGAAGGTTCACAAGAATATAGACACTGGGAACCAGCAGGAACAGGATATGTTATCAAAGAAATGGGATGACCGTTACGTGTTGCTTTATGCTTGTTCAATCTCATGTTTAGTGAGTGCTGCTGCAGAAATCATAATTGAAATGAATATTTTTTATTGAAGTGAACTACAGGCAAAGGTTGCATTTTCTTCCCTTTAGAAGTTTTTGAGGAAAAATGTGCATAATGTGTATTTTTGTATCAAAGTAATATTATTTTAATACACATATTGAGTTACAATAATATATCACTTCATCTTCCATATTTTTTCAGATATTTTTACATTGGTATTTTCCATATTGCTTCTTAGAAAAAACAGTTTTAAGCTGCTTAGCTCTCTGAAGGATTTGTCTCTAACTTTACCACAATCCCCTGAAACATGGCATTGAAATTTGCCCTGCTTCATTGCATGCAGGTTTGCATCTCCCCAGCGTTACCGTTATAAGCTGAGACATCAGTTTAAATCATGCAGCCACCTAAGCCTGTGCATACGCATGTATCTGTCCTGCCGTCCGAGCGGGCAGTCACCAGCTTTCCCTGCATAGCCATATACTACCAGTCCCAAGTGCGTCCTCAAGAGAAGAATCCACAAAAGGAAGGCTGAGACTGTAGCAAAACAAATCAAATTCAATTCAAAGAGAAAAATCCCCTGTTACAGCCCAATGCTACTTTTTAGCAGTAGAGCTGCTTATTTTAAAACATGTTTTGCCAAAGTTTTCAGGTAATCTTGCTAGCTCTTGAGCAACCGTGAAGGGGGAATGAGTGGCAGATTGTAGATTCTCTCTCTTCTCTTTTCACCTTGTCTACTTACTTGCTCAACTTGCACAGAGCCAGTGCAAGATGGTCCCAAGCCTTGACTGTTGTTGGATGAATATAAATAATAGGAATAAAGAATGGTTACTAGGAGTTATTTAGTTGCCTAGCATCACCTTTACTGCCATTGATGAGCTCTCTGTATTGTGTTTTCATAATGGCATGCTATAATAAACATCACTCGATTTCTAACTCAAAGAATACCTGACCCCAGAAAGTATACTTAGCATGATCTAATGGTTAAGGTGGGCAGCGGAAATCCAGGTTTTCTTGTTTACAGGAGGAAATGCAAACAAATGCATTCTGCTGTAGTTAGTTACCTGTTTTTTCAGAGCTGAATTGTTTCTTTTCTAGTATCATACGCATGCAGGCATTTAATCTCACCTCACTAAGCAGTATGTGTATTTTATTGGATTTTCTAAGGCTTTTGCAAATGGACGTTTGTTTCTTTTTAAATGGTCTGGACTTGTTTAACTTACCCTTCATTAGGCTTGATTTTTGTATTCTAAATAATGTGCTCTGCAAGGATAATAACAATGTCCAGGGATCAAAAAAGCACTTCGCAAATATGAAGGGCCAGACTCTGCCATCCTTTACTCCTGTTGATTTCAGCAAGACAAAGGACTCTGCAGTACAAAAGAGCAGTAGCCTGTTTTATGTAAACTTCGTGGTCCCTTTGTGCTGTTATGAAAACATGTTGCTCCTAAGTTTTCTGTTGGTAAACTAAGGTAGAGGCAGCTTAAGCGATATATCCAGTGACTTGCAAGGGATTTAAGAAATTGTATTGCCCAAGTGAACAGCATGTGCATGATTTATGGGGCAATGCCTTTGGTAAAAAGTAAGAATCAAGCCAAAAATTAATGTATGTGGTCATCAGCTGGTGACATGGGGAAAAAAAAAGCATGTAGTGGGTCCCAGTTTCTTCACACACCACAGCAAGCCATGCTGTTTTACAGCAAGAATGAAAGGCTCTGGGCCTCTGGACTGTGAAGGTTCAGATGAGCCTGCGCACTCAGAGCAATTTTCTTGGCACCCTGTATTTCCTTTTAAGCCCGTGTATTAATTCCTTCCCACTGTGCTGCCACTGTTCCATCGATGTCAGCGAATCGTGAAGGTGCATGGGAACATGCTTGGCAGCCCGCAACGGTACCTGTCCCAAGAATGTTTTGCAGTAACTAAAGGAGATGATACACTAAAAGGAGGTAGCTCTTAATGCCATTTCGAGGAAACATCCAAAACGCCCTGCCCCTATTTCCATATAAGAGCAGGGAAGGCTCTGGCTGCAATAGATGTTAGAAAGTAAAAAGAACAACAACATTTTCCACACTAAATCTAAAGCTTTTCTTCACTGCTGGGGAAACTGCTTTTTTTTTTTTTTTTTCTTCTTCTTTTTTTACCTCCCGGTAGCAGAGAGGCATGACTTATCCCAGCGGCAGTGCCCAGTCTGGAGCAGGGATTTGCATGCTGGTGTTCCATATCCTGCCTCCCCCCTCACCCCTTGGCCTCTGCAGGCAGTCTCAGTCTGCTGGACTTTGAATAAGTGAGTGGCAGAGGGGGAATTTAGAGGATGGGAGGCCCAGAGTCAAATCTTCGGTCTGAATCAGAAGTCTGTGTAGTTTGCAGTGGGTTATCTGGGGGACTCTGCTCCGTGCTGAAGGCGAGCTTGTTCTCTGTGTATCCATGCGCTGTTTTATAATGCAGTGATACCTCTTACAGATATGCCCTGAAGTGCTTTCAAGGTGAAGATTGCTTTCTTTAATATGTATATCTTAAGGTGAGGAAGGTTAAGGAGCTAAGCTGGATATGCAAATCATGCAGGGGCTGACTCTAGCTGACTGCAGTAGATGGAGAATTAAGCCTTTGTGCTTCGGTTGTCAGAGGTTAATGAGTGTCCCAGCCTGCCTGAAAATGAGGATCTTTGCAGCTGTGGCTTTCAGCTTCCCTCATTATACACTGCAGACAATTTTAATTATCATTACCATGGCCATGCTTAGTCGTTGTTGCATTAGGCTGCATGAAGGCAGAACAAAAAGGCCCAGTTCTGCAGCCCGATTTATCAATTAGAAATGTCACTGGGTGGAAGGAGGAGGTGGATCCTGCGCTCGCCTCGGGGAGCTCGCTCGCTGCAGATCTGATCTGCACAGCACCTTGCAAAAAGCACTGATAAGCTGCTCAGAAGCAAAGTAAGCCACAATAAACATCCCGGTGGGTGGATAATGCATTGTTGGCGTGACCCTGTCATTGTTGCGCCCTCTTCCAGAGCGCGATGCTGCCCCGGGGAGCCTGTGAAAGAATCGCACTCCTGTGAAGGCAGGAAGATGCACCAGCTCGCAGGGGAAACATGGTTTTCTTTGAGTTTCATTTTATCAGCTCACAAGCCTTGTCTGTGCTAGCAAACGGTATTCGATTTCCCACTTTTGCCACCAGTTTTAGCTCTACTAGTAACGACAAGGGTGAGAGCAGCAGTGTAGATAAGCATCTAATAGCTTTTGGCATGTCGTACTCCGTAGAGCTCCTTGACTTGGCTCCTTTGTCCAGTGTTTAAGATGAGAGTAGCAAGACTCTTTTTTTTTTTTTTCCCCAAAAACCTTTGTGCAGGTATCTTTGTGCAGTGTGATGTTCTCCTGTTAATTGTTTCACAGATTCCAAAATCTGGGTGTACCTTGAATCTGGGGTCTGGGTCAGTGTCTGCAATGAAGCGGGTGCTGAGAAGGTGGCAGTCGGTGTGCCTTACAAAACTGAGGAAACTGCTGTTGGGGCTCACAATTGTAAATTAAGTTTTATCCCTCAGGCGGATGCTCAAAACCTGGATCTTGTAGGCAATTCTTCACTCACTATTAGCATCGCAGAGAAACGTAGAACTGTTCATATTTGTGATCAAAATACAACATGCTTTAAGAACAATAGTGAACAGTTTTTACTTCTCTGTTACACAGCACTACAGGTACGTATATTTTTACCTAGAAATACCTGGAAGATAAATAATAGTCCCCAAATTATGCTGGGATGTCATTATGAAAATAACTGCCTTCTTATATTACACAAACTGCAAACTATTGCAATGAGCTCGCCCATGAGAAGTCTGTAAAAGTCTCTCATTTTAGGCTTGCGACAGGAAATGGCAGCAGGAAGCGAACTGAAGGGGCTGGAGCTCAGTGCTCTGTGAGCGAGCGAGGGGATAAAGTACTTGCGTTTGAAATGCTGATGCATAAATAGCATTCATTTTCTTAATGATAAGGTTTACCAACATGCAAGCAATATAGTTTTGAGTTCTTTTTAAGGTTATCTCTTCCTGATGAAAGATTGTAATCTGTAGCTGCTGTAAGCCAGGGGAACTCATTAATTCGGTAGAGTCAGTCCAGCACACAAAAGCAGAGTTTGGCTGAAGGAGTTTTAAGATCTGAACTCAGAGACACATAACAGCCCAGCTAAATAAAAATAGGTCAGGGGAAGCAACTAGATTGGATTGTACAGATAGAAATTTTTTAAGTGCACGTCTTCTGTTAATTTTGATCTGGAAGAGAGAGCTTGAAAAGCAGTCTTATGGCTGTCAAGGATTTGGAATATGCTAAAGGTCAAGGGTGTTAGTGTTTGGTTGAGGCCCAGGTCTTACAATGCAGTTAAAAAAAGAAAAGGTTTGGAATTCCCCTTTTTATTTGTTTTAATTGTCATGTAATAATTTGCAAGTCAGATGATGTTGGTTGCATTGTGTTTACTCCCATTTGTGTACTGGTTACGGCTTCTCTGCTGTGAGTGATAGAGGAGTTTCATGTTTCTCTGGGAGAAAAGTGCAAATGGACTCTGCTTTCCCCTGCCAAACTCTTATGGTGGCCACATGGACATCGTGAATCATTGCTAGGACAATGTGGGTGGTGGAGGAACAACCCAAACAGAAAGCGTACATCTTTGGAGTAGATCCACCATAAATCTTTCAATTTGGCCAAGTGTAAAGAGAGGAGGTGGTGCTCTCTGTGCCCTTTGAACTGATGCAGCTGTCAAGGCCTCTGAAGCATGGACGCTCAAAGTCCATTTGACAAAAATAAATCTTTCCAGCTCTAGAGTCAAGCAATGGAGTTCTAGTTTCTTTTTCCCTTGAGTTCCTGCATGTCTGTCACCTCGGTGATCTTTTTGTGACAGCGGTTTCTTAGGACGCTAATAGCTAGAGCAGGTGAGCTTGGACATACTTGAATGTCTACTGGTTTCAGGAGAGCTCACCACAGGGCAGGATCAGGACCATTGGTTCAGTGTGTCAGTGGCAAACTGAGGCTTTCATCTGCACAGTGCCCAAAATGCTGTGCCTGATTGGAGGCACATGCCTCCGTACCCTAGAAACGAACCACGGAGCCTGTGCCAGTGCCAGGATACCAAGACCCACCAGCCTTTCTTCTTCCCTCCCTCTCATTCCATCTTGTACCTCCCCTGGCTCCATCCTGTACCCCCTTTGGCATGCCTGGCAGCTTTACTAAAATATCTGAGATACAATTCACAGAGTTTGTTGCTTCAGGTACAGCAGTAGCATTCATGCCTTCATGCACAGCAGGAGCAGTATCACGCTGCTTGAGGTGTGCATCAGGCCTCCAACCCGTGCCCATCCTCTTTGAGGTTGCTGCTTCTCGGGTATATATTTATGTGCTGCTGCCTGTCGGGGATCGCTGTAGGAGATGGGCTCTCATTGCGCATCCAGCTATACTAACTGCAGTGGCTTGTGTGCTCAGAAGCGCCCGTGGCCACATGTACCTGTTTTATCCCAATATATTCATTACATCCCTTGCAATGGCTTATCTATCACTGGAATAACAATAATGTTAATAACTATTCTGATAATAGCTGTACTACTTCACAGTGTCTCTCTGATTTCCAGCACTTCTGTACATCTCTCATTGCAGATGTGCTTTATTTTAACTCTGGGCAAATAATTTCATTTCTGAAAGTGTTACTTTCACTTTCAGAAGCAAACAAGCAGGCTCTAGAGTGATTTTGCTCTCAAACTTGCAGTTTTCA